GTCCGAGCTGTAGAAGAGACACACGTGCACATACCTGGGTGAACTGCGCAGCTACCTTGGCTTGCAGATCACCCGGGACAGAGCACAGTGCACCATTATCGTGACTCAGTCACACATGGTGCAGCAGGTCCTTCAGTGCTTCGACTTCACGTACTCCTCGCCTAAGGCCACTCCTCTGTCTACTCGCCACTCGCTCTCAGCTCTGCCTTCGGATGATTCCGTAGAGCCGAGTGGCCCGTACCCAGAGCTTGTTGGCTGCCTCATGTACCTGATGACCTGCACACGACCTGACCTTGCATACCCTCTTAGCATCTTGGCACGCTATGTTGCTCCTGGGAGACACCGACCAGAGCACATGGCTGCAGCAAAGAGGGTGTTGCGCTACTTGTGCAGTACGTCGGGCATGGGGCTAGTGCTTGGAGGGTGACATTCAGTGGTCCTCACAGGTCACGCAGACGCTACTTGGGCTGAAGACCAGGCTACGCAGCGGTGGTCACAGGGTTACACCTTCAGCCTTGGTTCCGGCTCTGTTTCGTGACGGTCTACCCGCTCGTCTTCTGTTCTCGGCTCCAGCTGTGAGGCTGAGATCTACGCGAGGGCCATGGCTGCACAGGAGCTACGCTGGCTCACCTACCTGCTGACTGACCTAGGAGAGCCGCCTCGTTCTCCTCCAGTTCTGTATGTAGACAACAAGGCCATGCTGGCCTTGTGTCGGGAGCACAGACTGGAGCACAGAATGAAGCACATTGCTCTTCGCTACTTCCTTGCTCGTGAGCTGCAGCAGCGTGGTCAGCTGCGCCTTGCTTACGTGGCCTCTGAGGCCAACACTGCTGATATCTTTACCAAGGCACTTCCGCCTTGTGATCATCAGCGCTTCTGTACGATGCTAGGTCTTGTGCCTACTTGGCCTCACTTGCTCACTTCTTGACCTTGCTTGTACTGTGATCTTTCTATACCTGCACTTGCTTGTTTACCTTTATATATGATCTTGCATGTGAACTGGCCTTGTGGCCTTGAACTTGTGCTCGGAATGTGTGGTGACGTTGTGATCCACCCTGAGCTTGCTTTGCTTTGCTTGACTGGTCTTATGACCTCTTGTTCTCCCCCACTTTGCCTATGGGGGTGTGTCAAACTCATATGCTATAGTCTGTGTAGGCTGTGGTGGGGTAGACAATATGGGGTACAACACTTTTAGGTTTTCCTACTTGTACCCTCCTGCTTGCTAGTTCATCCATCCCTCGTTCTTTCACACCTCACCCTTGGTGCGCAAGGGGAAAACCGTGGTGTAACGCATGTAGTCGTCGACGACCAGTAGGAAGTACCGCTCGTGGCCCTGTCCGCGGACGCGGGCTGGGCCCCACACGTTTAGGTGGAGAGTCTGCAAGGGAGCCTCTATGGAAGGGAACGAGGAGGAGTGAGGAGCGGCGCGCTGCCGCCCCTCGACACAGGGAATACAGGGAGGAGCAGGCGAGGGTGGGAGGGGAGGGAGAACCCTGGGGAGACTAGAGACAAGGACACGGCGGTGCATGCTGCGAAGGCGCTGCACCGAGGGGTGACCAAGGCGGTGGTGCCAAAGGAGGGTCTCGTGCGACAAGGCGCGACACGAGCAGGGGGCCGACAACTGACCTGACGCAGATGCAGACGCTGCTACCTGAGGGGACTAAGTGGCCGTGTGTACAGGCCCGACCCCGGCTGCCGACTGAAGGTAGCCAAGTGACAACCCGTCTGAGCACACGTGCAGTGTGTCACACGCTCGTAGGCAGGGGTGAACTAGTGAACACCCGCGTCCTGGAGCGCAGAACCCGCCACCAAGTTCGTAGAGAACGAGGGGAGGTAAAGACCCGACAGTGTGCTGGACGGGACAGCAGGACAAGGGAGGACAGTGGAGGAGGTCGCACGGACTGGACCCCCAGAGGGGTCTGCCAGGGAGACTGGAACTGGCCGACTGAGTGGCGTGAGGGTGATGCTGTCGCGAAAGAAGGAGCGAGAAGCACCAGAGTCAAGTGTGAAGGTGTACAAGGCCTGAGCAGGCGCAGTACAAGAGAGAGCAGACTCACCAGCACCTTGAGCAGCAGCCTCACCAGTACCTAGAGCAGGAGACACACTAGCCCCTAGAGCAGTAGCCTCACCAGCACCTAGAGCAGCAGGCTCTATACCTGGGTCAGGCGGTACGCACAGGTAACAGGCACGGTCAGCACTAGTAGGCAATGCATACATGGAAGTGAGAATAGCATTATAGTCAAGAGCAAATATATCTACCCTCTGCTCAAGCAGTTCCACCCAGTCGGGGAGCTCAGCCTCGTCTCCAAACTCGGTACGCCAGGCGTCTCTCAGACCTGTCCGAGCACCAGTGCGAATGACGTACGGGCAGCGAACGGTACTCAGATACCCTCTACTCTGAGCGTACCACTCACGAAGCTGCTGGGGCGTGCGAGACTCGCGCGGACGTCGCTGGAGCTGCATCTGGCCACCGCCAGTAGTAGCAGTAGTAGTAGTAGCAGCAGTAGCAGCAGTAACAGCAGTAGCAGCAGTTGCAGCAGTAGCAGCGCGACCACCCCTACAACCCCAACTAGCGTACCACTCACTAAGCTGCTGGGGCGTGAGGGACTCACGCGGACGTCGCTGGAGCTACATCTGGCCACTGTCAGTAGCAGCAGTAGCAATAGCAGTAGCAGCAGCAGCAGCGCGTGCAAGGCAGGCGTGGCAGGCGCGCAGGCAGGCAGGCTGGCAGGCAGGCAGGAGGCAGGAGGCAGGAAGGCAGGCAGGCAGGCAGGCAGGCAGGCGGCAGTGCACGAACAAGGTAGGTGCTCACCAGTGGCCGGCAGGGCCGGCGCTCGGCGGGGCCGCAACAACGGCCGCAGAGTAGGGCCGCGTCGGCGGTAGGGCAGGTCCGCGACAGCTGCTGCAGGGCGGGGCCGTGACAGCTGCAGGGCGGGGCCGCAACGGCGGCAGAAGGCTCCGCGGCAGCTGCTGCAGGGCGGGGCCGCGACCGCGGCAGGAGGCTCCGCGGCAGCTGCTGCAAGGTGGGGCCGCGACTGCGGCAGAAGGCTCCGCGACAGCTGCTGTAGAGCAGGGCCGCGATGGCAGCAGGAGGCTCCGCGGCAGCTGCTGCAGGGCAGGGCCGCAACTGTAGTAGGGCGCTCCGTGGCAGCTGCTGCAGGAGCGACGGTGGCAGTCAGGCAGGGGCGGCGTCCAGGGGCAGCCGCGAGGAACAGGGGCAGCCGCGGCGCGCGAGGCTGCAGCGCGCTGCACGAGCTGCGGGCGCGGCGCGCGGGGCTGCAGCGCGACGCGCGGGCTGCGAACGCGACGTGCGGGGCTACAGCGCGACGCGCAGGCAGCGGGCGCGACGCGCAGGGCTGCAGCGCGACGCGCGGGCAGCGGACGCGACGCGCGGGGCTGCAGTGCGACCTGGCCTGACGGGCCTGCAGGGGCGGCTAGCGGGCCTGACGGGCCTGCAGGGGCGGCTAGCGGGCCTGACGGGCCTGCAGGGGCGGCTAGCAGGCCTGACGGGCCTGCACGGGCGGCGCTCTGGCCTGACGGGCCTGCAGGGGCGGCTCGCGGGCCTGACGGGCCTGCAGGGACGGCTAGCGGGCCTGACGGGTTTGCAGGGGCGGCGCACGGGCCTGACGAGTCTACAAGCAGGGCCCGTGCTAGGATTTGGGGCACCCTGAGACCTCAGGGCACTTTTTTAGAATCTTAAAAAATGCCCTGATTTGTCAGGGCAATTTTTCCAAACCATCCTGTATGTTCAGGGCTTCTGCAGAAATCAATCCTGACCTGTCAGGGCAAACAAACAAGTGCTCAGGGTTCAAAATTTAACACACACCAGACCAGACTCTGCTGGTGCCGTTCGTACTAGCACGGGCGGGTGTGACTACGGGAGTTCGAGATGAACCAGCTGCAGGTGAACCTGTTGGTAAGGTGGACCCTGTTCCCAGTCTGATGGGTTGGGCTGGTGCATCGCGGGGGATCGGAACAGAGCTGTTAAAGGAATCGTGCGAAGGCGGGAAACATACACTGGGAAAAAAATCAACCGGGACAAAAATACCCGGGGTAGAAATTCCCCGAGAACGGGAACCCCCCCCCCCCCCCTCCCCCTCCCCCCCCCACCCCTCCTCCCCTCCCCCCTAAAAAAACGCGTCAGGGCAGGCCTCGACATTCATCCTGACGCTACAGGGAAGAACACTACGGCCATCCTGAATGTTCAGGGCAGTTCATATAAAACATCCTGAGAGCTCAGGGTTAAAATTGACAACATTCTGAAATGACAGGGTAAATCCAAAACTGCATCCTGAATTCAGGGTAATCAGGGTGTTTTGCCCTGATAACGTGGGGCCTGTCTACAAGGGCGGCGCGCGGGTCGTACGGGCCTGCAGGGATGGCGCGCTGGCCTAGGGCAGCAGTAGGCAGCGCGAGGGCTGCAGGACGGCGCGCGCAGCGCAGCACGTCACAAGGCGAGGCAGGCAGGCGCACGTGGGGTAGCGTGGTAACCGCAACGGTAGGTGGGACCGAAAAGAAAAACGGTCCTACGGACCTAGTGCTCTGAAACCATGTCAGAATCTAGCAGCAGGAATGAGTGCATTGAACAGAGATGTGGGTACATATGCTAACCCAAATTTGGGTTGTACCCCTTATGGGCTACCCCACTACAGCCTACACAGCACAAGCATTATCATAGTTTGACAGTTCGATACAGTGACGACTCGGGCAACTGCTCAATAGCGAGTCAGTTGTTTGTCCTTGCTGTCGCGCTGTACTTGTCAGGTCAAAGTTCGCTGACCTTTGACTTTCGCGTAACCGACAGAGGCGCTTAAAACCGAAATATAAAATAGTGAAGGCGGATCCAACTTGAAATCGTGCTCGAAAGAAGCAAAACTGGAACGACGATGGGCTGTGTAAAACACTGTTCCGGGCATCGCCCTTCCACAGACTGAACACACGTGATTTGTTCCCGCCAAAAAAAAAAAACCAGATCGTGCTCGCGCGTTCGCATTTTCTGCATGCGACATTTGCACGACAGTTGTTTGTCGTGCGTTTTGATGGTTGGACCCGACTTCGACTTTCAAGCTGGGCCTGGGTTCCACATATGCTTACTTCAACTCCATTCACGTAGCTTGCCTAACTCACGGAGCTTGCCTAGCATAGAATAGCCAGAGACGAGGGATTAGGCTGATGCGGCATAGAAATGAAATTATCATTAGATTGTTTGTGATACTTCGTTGCCGTTGCTGCGTAGTGATATTTTCCTCGCGATCACAGAGAACCCCATTCCCGTCGCCATTCCTCTCACCCCTCTCATCGCCCACTATGCTATCCTCGAGTTCGCCAAATCGCCCACCCGTCTCCCTTTCCGTCGCGCGTCACGTCGCCATCTCGTCGCCCGTCCCGTCGCCCTCTTCGTCGCCCTCTCTCCCCTCCTCTCCTCCCGTCGGCCTCTCTCTCGCCCCTCCCTACCGATCGCCCTCCCGGCGCTCGCCCCGTCGCGCTCTCTCTCTCCGCTCCCTTCCCGTCGCCCTCTCTCTCGCCCCTCCCTTCCCGTCGCGCTCTCTCTCTCCGCGCCCTTCCCGTCGCCCTCTCTCTCGCCCCTCCCTTCCCATCGCTCTCTCTCTCTCCGCTCCGCCCTCTCTCTCGCTCCTTCTTCGAATCGCGCTCTCTCTCCGCTCCCTTCCCGTCGGCCTCTCTCTCCGCTCCCTTCCCGTCGCGCTCTCTCTCTCCGCTCCCTTCCCCTCGCCCTCTCTCTCGCCCCTCCCTTCCCGTCGCGCTCTCTCTCTCCGCTCCCTTCCCGTCGCCCTCTCTCTCGCCCCTCCCTTCCCGTCGCGCTCTCTCTCTCCGCTCCCTTCCCATCGCCCTCTCTCTCGCCCCTCCCTTCCCGTCGCGATCTCTCTCTCCCTCCCTTTCCGTCGCCCTCTCTCTCGCCCCTTCTACCCGTCGCGCTCTCTCTCTCTGTGCCCTTCCCGTCGCCCTCTCTCTCGCCCCTCCCTTCCCATCGCGTTCTCTCTCTCCGCTCCGCCCTCTCTCTCGCTCCTCCCTTCGAATCGCGCTCTCTCTCCGCTCCCTTCCCGTCGCGCTCTCTCTCTCCGCTCCCTTCCCATTGCCCTCTCTCTTTCTGCTCCCTTCCCATCCTCCCTTCTCGCTCGCCTCGAATAGCCCTCCCGGCGACCTTCGACTCTCCCATCACGTATGCCCTCCTTTCTCCGTCGCCTCTCTCGTTCTCCCTCTGCTATCGCGTCAGCATGACCCATTCCGTACTCTGTTATTGTGTTTGGTTTGTTTGTTTTTTCTGTCTTTCCATCTATTCTCGACACCCTCTCTCCCGCCGCCTATCCTCTCTCCCGTCGCCCTCCCGTTTCCCGTCGCCCTCCCGTTTCCCGCCCCCCTCCCGTTTCCCGTCGCCCTCCCTTTTCCCGTCGCCCTCCCGTTTCCCGTCGCCCTCGCGTTTCCCGTCGCCCTCCGGTTTCCCGTCGCCCTCCGGTTTCCCGTCGCCCTCCCGTTTCCCGTCGCCCTCCCTTCTTCCGTCGCCCTCCCTTTTCCCGTCGCCCTCGCGTTTCCCGTCGCCCTCCCGTTTCCCGTCGCCCTCCCGTTTTCCGTCGCCCTCCCGTTTCCCGTCGCCCTCCCGTTTCCCGTCGCCCTCGCGTTTCCCGTCGCCCTCCCGTTTCCCGTCGCCCTCCCATTTCCCGTCGCCCCCCTTCTTCCATCGCCCTCCCGTTTCCTACGCCCTCCCTTCCCGTCGCCCTCCCTCTTTCTCTTCATTCGCGTCACCTTGCCCATCATAATTTCCCCCCTAGTGCTGTTTTTCTCTTCTGTTTCCCGTTATTGCACCTCTCCCAGGCCTCAAGTCCAAGGCAGCACATTGATCAGAGCTCTACTAGCTCTAATAACGTTCAAACACTTTCACTCTCATCACGTACATGTGTGTCTGCTTGGGATTTAGCGTGAGATGTTGCTAGTTGTGAATTTGGTGAAGTATTGGCTCTAGTGAATGCAGGAGTGCTCGTCGCCAGGGCTTAGGTTTGGATTTTGCCTACTCACGATTGGCAGTGTAGACATTTTCAAAACCCTTCTGAGCAGTGTGCCCTTTTTGGAAACACTGATGGATCAGTGTAACTTGAAGTTTTGAAAACTTTACCCAGAGGCATCAGTGTAGGTATATTTTTTACCCTGATTGTACTTTAGGCTGCTCAATATGTGCTGGCTGCAATCAAGCTCGAGGCCCAAATCGCGCACGATTACTATCGTAAGTTGGGCGCTGGTGGGTGGGAGTTGTGATGTGAACTCAAAAGTCGAGCGCAGTGGCTTGTCTGGTTTCGCTGCAACACTTGTATTTTTCGCCAAGTCAGCAAATTTCGAGTGTGTTCGGAAACCTCGAGTCCCAAATTTCCGAGTCAAGAAAGTTGACGTTCTTGCAGAGAGTGCAGCTTCGACCAATCAGGTTGCATCGCCTCTACAGTAACGGGTAGGTTGCAAGCAGACACGGAGTGACACGGTGTCGGTTGTCAGTACTAACGTGTGCTGGCGTCGTAGTGCATCATTACGAAATTGGGTGTATCGCTACGAAAGTTCTAGGAAACTTCTTCTCAATAAGTAGAGTTTCCGAGGGGGGGGGGGGGGGGGGGGATGTCAAATGTACGCTCTTCAGGGTAATCTTCGCTAAGGGAAAAATTACCCCAGAGCATCAGTGTGGCCTAAATCATTACACTTACAGATCAGTGTAACACTAACTCACCAAAAAATTACCCCAGCACATCAGTGTAGACCCAAAAATTCACCCTTGTAATCAGTATAGAAGGGTAAATTACACTGCAAACCTGAGCCCTGCTCGTCGCTCAACTTTGCGCCAAATTCGCACATGTACATGCGAGAGAACCTGGCTGCCAATCAGAATTGACAATGAACTATCGTTCCTGGTCCAATAAGAAACTCGTCGGAGGGTCGGAAAAAAAAGCTCACAGCAATTCCAACATTCCAAAACAAAACAAAAATACTTCATCTCCAAGTGGACCCAACTAGAAGGGGGGGGTCACTATTTTGCCTGCTGGCTTTAAGTTACTTGTTTCCAACACCCTCCTCCCCCTTCCTCCAATTCTTTGCATCCCCAGGTTGAGAGAACCACCCGCGCAAGCATCAATTCTGTTACATTAGCCTCAGAACATCCTCAAGGGCACTGGCATCCCTTCCCACGCCTACCAGCAGCGTGGCCTCCAGGGCCCCTCTCCCTTGTGTCTTATCCTGAGGCCCCACGCATTCCAGAATACATACAGTTTATGCCCCAAAGTTTATCACATCACATGGTAATGTCCCAGGCCTTAACATATCAGCTGCAGCAGCCACGTAACTAACAGCGTTCATCACCTGCGCCCCTGGTATGGGACGGCATACCCTCATAGTCAAATTACGGTAGGTCACATCTGCATCTGCGCATGGGCCTACGGCGGTGTCTGTGTCTGTGTCTGTGTCTGTGTCTGCTCTGCACCTTCTGTGTCTATGGCTGTGAATGCTCCTGCGTCTGCCTATGTCTCAGAGCATTCAGTGGCTCTTGAAAGTACCAGCTACGCCAGCCAGGCTGCATTTTCCTTCCCCCGCATGCCACATCATCTGATAATATATACCTGCACGCACCGCCCTGCTCTGCACTGCATCGCATTGCACACAGGCCCCTTCAGAAATCGCCCTTTTTTCACTCCTTACCTCTCCCCTCCTCTCCTCAAGAGGCCTTCTCTTCCCGCTCCAACCTCCGTTGTCCCCCCCAACCTCCTTCCCCCTTTCCCTTCTTTCCCCCCTCCTCCACGCCAGCCACGCGGTGATCCTGTTCCCCCGCACGCCGCGGTGCTGGCCGTAGCACACCGAGAACGCCGCGTGTATCGCATTCCAGCGCACTGCACTGCACTGCACTACACACAGGGCTCGTCCATCAATGCTCCTTCTCGGGTCTGCACGCATCCCTTCCCTCCTCTCCGCTCCCTCCTGCTTCCTCCGCGCCCCACGAAAGCACCGGCTGCGCGAGCCACGCGGCAATCCTGTTCCCCCGCACACCGCGATGGCGGCCGTAGCACTCCCAGAACGCCGCGTGCTTCGCGCGGCACTCCTCCGACTGCCCCCAGATGAGCGCAAGAGACGACTGGTTGCGCATGCACGAGAGCAGCGCCAAATGCTCGTCCGCGCACGCCGCCATCGCCGATTCCTTCTTCGTCGGATCGTAAATCAGCGGTTCTGAATCCTTCTCGCGCCGTCGATTGGTGGTATTGGTACGGGAGGATCCGTCTGCGTGGTGATCGAAGGCTTCCTGGTTGTTTCGTGAGCGATCTGAGCCGATGGGCTGAGCTGGAGGGTTTTCTCGAAGGTTCGTGGAGTCGTCAGCTGGCTCCCGCTGCGATGCCATTGGTCGACAGGCTCTGTCTTCCTATTGGTCGAAGTCAAGGCACTCGCCAAGATTCAAAGTGCACGGAATCTCGAGAGATGCACCCCTGCGCGACGCTGCGCGATGCTGCGCGACACTCCTACAATGTCTGTCCCTGGATCCACACGGCGGACACGACCACTAAATTCAGAACGTTTCCTCCTTACGTGGCGGGAGGTACGGTAGAAAATTGTGGGAGAATATTTGCGTTACAGACTGCTCGAATGTATATATGTAGTATGTCCCCGCTTAAACCAAGTGAAATTCTTAGAGAACTTCTGAGAACATCATGTGCTGTCAGCAGGATCAACGGAGAAACCTCTAGCACACTCCAGAACGTTAAAAAAATTAGCAACTCTGTACATGTTACAGATGTTTACAAATAATCCTGATAACCAAGCCTAACCTATCATCCATATAATTTTTCTCGTCTCAAGCCTCCTCCGATTCCTCAACAAGACTCAGCATCGGGCCGTCAGGAGCTCTTAGAGCAGCTACCTGCACACAAAACACACATAACAAACATCTTTGCTGTGAAAATGGGACACTAAGCACACACTCACTTAGCCTTCTTGAATTCCCAATTACGGTAAGTGGTTAGTCGTAGATAAAACATAGAATGACATGATGTAGTTTTAGATTGTGCAGGACTCACTCGGCCTTGTGGTATGTGCACCACAGCACCGTCCATCACCGCTCCCAACCGCAGCATGCGCAGGAGAGTGGAATCAAACTCCCCTTCTCCACGCACAGAGAAGGACAGAAGGGGAGAGAAGCCATGAGCTGTGTGCGCTGTGCTGAAAAGGGAAGGGGAAAGAGTGAGACAGGAGGAGGAGGAAAGAAAAGAGTGGTTAATGAAGCGCCTCCCTCTCATCCCTCTCACCCTAACCCATACCCCCCTCCTCAAACCTCCTGTCACATTGCTTCAAGGACCCTCCTTTCCCTCTCGCTCCCCCCCCTCTTCCCATCACTTCCGCCCACGTCCCCCCACCCCATCTCACCTCTTTCATCTCACTTCTTTCCCCAATCCCCCACTCCGCCCCTCCCCTCCCCCCTTTCTCCCGCACAACCCTCCGCCACCTGTCGCATTGCTGCAGAACGATCCGGGTGGGCATTACCACCCCCCACTCCCCCCTCCCCGTCTCCCCCCCTCCTTCCCTCCGTTTCCCTCTCTCTCTCACAACAATCCCACTCCCTTACTCCCCCCATCCCCCTACCTTCTTTCCTCCCCTTCCCCCCAACCCTCCGCCACCTGTCGCATTGCTGCAGCGCGATCCGCGTGGGTCCCGCCTGCACCTCCGCCCATCGTTCTGTGCACACCAACACGGGCAATCCCAGCCCTTCCTTGAAAAAATTCGCTGCCCGCGGCACGTCCCGCTGCAGTAGCAGCACATGGCGCAGCGCCGCTGCTGCTGCTGACCCTGCTCGTCCTGATTGCGCCATGCTGTCAGGGGTAGGGTTACTGGCGAGTTCATGCGAATAGGTTACCTGGCCATTTCGGCGCTCCTCTAGGTAGCGTAAGATTGCTACGAGCTCGCTTGGGGTTGCGACTCTCACTACGGTCTCAAGTGCTGTCAAGGTTCGGTTTGACTAAAGCTGGGCATTCATTCTGCCTGCGGCTTTAGCGACACATGTGGGGAATTTGTCATGTCTGTCAGAGTAGTTTGAAAGTTGTGTAATACTATTAGTCAGATTTATGTTCGTGTATTAGTTGCAACAACGATACGGTGGGGTTGTATTCTTGACAGCTTGTATCGCAGATGAGACCAACGAGTTTGGCGAACCAGCAGATGCGCCTCGGAATCAGGTTCGGACTTTGTGGCATGTAGTGTTTCGATCAGTGATTAGGGCGTGTCCAGCGCGTTCATTTTGGGAAATTTAGTACCGATACACGTTTCGCGAATAAAAAATATCCACTGTACCTAGAATTGAGACCAGAAAAATCGAGTCCGAAACGCATGTGAATTCAATCGTGCGGACACAGCCCCCGCCATGTGCGTCGTAACTGTACCCAGATAGTGCGGAAACAGGGTTACTAAGTACACTCGTTTTTTTCTCGCGTCACAAATTTTGCGCATGAAAAATCTCCCTGCGCGAACAAGAGCCGCGAGCCATTAGCGAAATTGTGCAGGCGATTCAGCGGGGCAATTTCTGTAGAGGGTAGGACGCGCTCATGTACCCTTGTTCGTGTGTACGCAAATTCCAGTTACGTGAGTCTGACGATTCAAGGTGCGTCGAGGGGGCGTGCCCTTTCGTGTACGAAAGCTGACCGTGTCCGAGATTTCTGTAAAAGTCTGTGTAGCATCTCCAAATAGGGTAGCCGTTTTAGTTTTTGAACGGTAAATGTACGCGCTGGACACCCCCTTAGTTGGATTGAATTGAAACCAGACAAGGAACATAGAAAACAGGTTCGGCAGTTTTAGGTTAGGAAGAAACAAGTTCAGGATTCATGAAATCTATCCATTACCGAAGTCCTTAGAACTTGTTGCCTTGTCTCATTCCTACAGTTCCTAGCCGTGTGATTTGGCACGGCATTGTCACGCACGTTGTACTTTCAAGGCAGCAATTTTGGACATTTCGGCAGAACGCGACTTTACAGCGCCAATGGCGGAGGAGTTGGCGCCATTGGACGAGACGCTTTCCCCGACAGACGACGGATTTCATGCACACGCGTTAGGCGGCTCCGTTTTCAGCGGCTCGGACGCGGAAGCGCCGGAGCTGGGATCGTTAAATGCGTCGCGGGGACGAGCCGTGGAGCGATCGTCGCGGGGAGGCGGCGCGGGAGGAGCGAAGCGGTTCGGACGGGGCGGGATGGTGATGGCTGTGCTCATGCGCTTACTTGCTATAAACAAGCGGATATTGATCCCGGTGGCGCTCGCCTCGCTAGCTTCGATGCTGATGGGATATGGTATGCCAGCTAGGATCGTTAGGTTGTACACGTGGCAATATCAAGGTGGTCGATGCGAATGCACATGCACAGCATTGGATGATTGGATGCGATTGGGATCACTTTGGTAGATTTGATCTCCTTCGATTAATCCCACTTGTATCTGAAGCCGCGCAAATGTATCGTGTAACCCTGTCTGTTCTCCCAAACTCCTTAGCTTGTCAGTCGACTCAAAAAAATTTCAGGCATTTCTCTCACAAACTCTTCTCTTCTCCTACCCCCCATTCCCCTTTGTCCCCACCCACCATCCCACTTAATGGGCTGAATAGGCGTCACAAGCGGTACCGTGCTGATCATTATGACCGTTGAGTCGCGTCCAGTATTTTCCTCTTCCCCCCTCATGCTCCCCTTCTGTCTCTGTCCGTGGTAAACAGACATAGGCGTGACCAGTGGTGCTGTGCTGATAGTGCAGCGAACCTACCACCTCAGCATTGCGGATAAGGTGAGTGCGCCGCCACCTGTCAGTCACTGCCACGTCACCTGTACCAGCCACGTCAGCAAGGCAGATAAGGTGATCCACGTGGCCAGTGCCACCACTACAGGTGCCTGTCTGCCACCATAGCATTGAACATCAGGAACACGGTACAAGACACCCCCAAATGAGCAGATTTCCAGTTTCCAGGCAAATCAGCACCCCATATATAAGCAGACTCTCCAACCGCCGTGTTTTGAGACGTCTCAAAACAGACTTCCAGGTTTCAGGCAAATCAGCACCCCATAAATAAGCAGACTCTCCAACCGCCGCCCGCTCTTCCTCCTCCTCCTCCTCCTCCTCCTCCTCCTCCTCCTCCTCCTCCTCCTCCTCCTCCTCCTCCTCCTCCTCCTCCTCCTCCTCCTCCTCCTCTAATTTTAGAAGCTCCAAAAATGTTCTCCCTTCTCTGTTTCAAGTTGGCAGAGAACTGTATCCTCCTGCTTCACCTGTTCTCTCATCTACGCTCCCCACCCCTACTACCCCCATCCAACACCCCCCCCCCCCCCCCCTCTCCCCCCCCTCCTTTGTTGAACATTTCAGGAGCTCTTTATTGGTTCCTTCAGCTTCGCAGCAGCCATCTCCGCCCTCCTCTCTGGTCCGCTTGCAGACTTCTTCGGCCGCCGCCCCCTCCTCCTCCTCTCCTCCCTCCTCTCCTCCCTCGGCTTCCTCACCATGGCCCTCTCTCACACCTTCCCCACCCTCCTCTTCACCCGTATCCTCACCGGTTTCGGCGTAGGCATCGGGATGACTGTCGGCCCTCTCTACTGCGTCGAGCTGGCCCCAGCCGATTCCCGCGGCTCTCTCTCTGCTCTCAGCGAGCTTCTCTCTTCCCTCGGGCTGCTCCTCGGGTATTTAATCTCCTTTCTCCTCTCGCCGTCCCCTAAGTACGACCCAACGCTAGCTGTCGCTGCTGCCGCCGCCGCCGCTGCTACCGACCCTACTGCTGCCACTGCTGCCACCGCAGCTGCTGCAGCAGCGGCAGCAGCAGCGGAAAGCGCGTTTTCGCCTCATAACTGGCGGCTGATGCTGCTGTTTGGAGTGGTACCCGCAGCAGGGTTGGGTCTCGGGGTGTTATGGCTGGGTGTGCCGGAATCCCCACGGTGGCTGGTGCTGGTGGGGAGGGTGAGGGAGGCTGCGGAGGTGCTGCTGGTGCTGGAGGACGGGAGAGAGGTTGAGACGGCTGCGCTGCTTGAAGATATGACCGCTGCTGCTGCTGCCGCCGCTGCTGCTGCTTCTGCCGCCGCCGCTGCTCATGCTGGTGGTTCTGGTGCTGGTGGTGGGAGTGATGATGCAGAAGCAGCAGCGTTGCTAGGAGGGCATGGGGAGGTAGCTTCAGCAGCAACAGCCAGAGGAGGTGGAGGAGCAGGGGGAGCAGGAGGGATGGCAGGTCTACACTCCCTCACACCCACCGCCCCTGCAGGAGCACAGTTCTGGAAGGGTCCAACTGGGGGAGGCTTATCTGGGGGCGGTTTATCTGGGGGTGGTGGAGGGATGGGTTTGCGGAAGGGGGGGATGTTGGGGGGAGGGAAGGGCAGGGGGGTGGGCGTGGGGGTGTGGAGGGAGCTGGTGCGGCCGAATGAGGCGGTGAAGCAGATGCTCATGCTGGCCGTGGGGGCTGCGTTCTACCAGCAGGTACGATGCTCTCTCCACACCCCCCCCTCCCCTGCTGCTTCATCCTCTGCTGATGCGGCCGAATGAGGCGGTGGAGCAGATGCTGAAAGTGGCTGTGGGGGCTGCATACTACCAGCAGGTACGATTAGCTCTTGGCTTCCGCTCTAGAATCAAAGGTGGGGGTGCGGAGGGAGCTGCTGCGGCCGAATGAGGCGTTGAAGCAGATGCTCATGCTGGCTGTGGGCGCTGCATTCTACCAGCAGGTACGATGCTCTCTCCACACCCCCACCCACCCTTCCCCCCCCGCCGCCTCATCTGCTGCTGATGCGGCCAAATCAGGCGGTGAAGCAGATGCTCATGCTGGCTTTGGGCGCTGCGGGGGGTTTACCAGCAGGTATGCGGTAGTCAGGCTTCCCAGCCCCCCCAGGCGTCCCATCCCCACAATGTTGGTTTGACTTTTGATAAATTCTCAAAAGTCAAACCAACATAGCTGTGGGCGCTGCGTTTTACCAGCAGGTAATGCAGTAGTCAGGCTTCCCATCCTCCCCAGGCGTCCCATCCCCACAATTTCCTACCACTCCCAGGAGGAGTCATTCGCTACCATCAAGCTCACCTCCTATTGAGACGTCTCAAAAGTCAATTTCCTACCACTCCCAGGAGGAGTCATTCGCTACCATCAGGCTCACCTCCTATTGAGACGTCTCAAAAGTCAATTTCCTACCAATCCCAGGAGGAGTCATTCGCTACCATCAGGCTCACCTCCTATTGAGACGTCTCAAAAGTCAATTTGCTACCACTCCCAGGAGGAGTCATTCACTACCATCAGGCTCACTTCCTATTGAGACGTCTCAAAAGTCAATTTCCTAACACTCCCAGGAGGAGTCATTCGCTACCATCAAGCTCACCTCCTATTGAGACGTCTCAAAGTCAATTTCCTACCATTCCCCGGAGGAGTCATTCGCTACCATCAGGCTCACCTCCTATTGAGACGTCTCAAAAGTCAATTTCCTACCACTCCCAGGAGGAGTCATTCACTACCATCAAGCTCACCTCCTCTGACTTTTCGAAGCGCCTCAAAAGTCGTCCCAGGCGTTCCATCCCCAAAATTCTCTACTACTGCCTCTCTCCTTCCATCTCCCTCACCTTCCCTCTCTCAACTGAACCACCACCAGGCCACAGGCGTCCCCACCATGCTCTATTATACCCCCGAGCACTTCGCCACCATGGGTCTCACCTCCTCTGCTGCCATTCTCTCTGACTCTCTCTATCCTTCTCCCGGCGCTTTCATTCACCAGGCCACAGGCGTCCCCACAATGCTCTACCCCCGAGCTGGTCCCCACCGTGGGCCTCACCTCATCTCACCTCCTCTACTACTGTTCTCTCTGCCTCTCTCTCTTTCCTTCCCCAAATCACCCACCACCAGGCCACAGGCGTCCCCACCATGCTCTACTACACACCTGAGCTCTTCGCAACGATGGGTCTTACCTCCTCTGCTGCCATCCTCTCTGCCAGCCTCGCGGTGGCCCTCGCCCGCACGCTCGCCTCGCTCGTGCCCGTCTCTATTCTGGACGAGATTGGAAGAAGGACTATGCTTCTTATCAGCACAGCAGGTGAGCAACCGTGATCAGGTGTGTGTCAGGTTCACAGCACCACCACCCTCTCGTCCCGCCTTGCTGATCTCTGCCAGCCTCGCCGTGGCCCTCGCTCGCACGCTCGCCTCGCTCGTCCCCATCGCTCTTCTGGACGAGATAGGGAGACGGACTTTGCTGCTCATCAGCACAGCAGGTGAGCTTCACACCCCTGCTCTTGCTGCCAGCCTCGCGGTGGCCCTCGCTCGCACGCTCGCCTCGCTCGTGCCCGTCTCTATTCTGGACGAGATTGGAAGAAGGACTATGCTTCTTATCAGCACAGCAGGTGAGCAACCGTGATCAGGTGTGTGTCAGGTTCACAGCACCACCACCCTCTCGTCCCGCCTTGCTGATCTCTGCCAGCCTCGCCGTGGCCCTCGCTCGCACGCTCGCCTCGCTCGTCCCCATCGCTCTTCTGGACGAGATAGGGAGACGGACTTTGCTGCTCATCAGCACAGCAGGTGAGCTTCACACCCCTGCTCTTGCTGCCAGCCTCGCGGTGGCCCTCGCTCGCACGCTCGCCTCGCTCGTGCCCGTCTCTATTCTGGACGAGATTGGAAGAAGGACTATGCTTCTTATCAGCACAGCAGGTGAGCAACCGTGATCAGGTGTGTGTCAGGTTCACAGCACCACCACCCTCTCGTCCCGCCTTGCTGATCTCTGCCAGCCTCGCCGTGGCCCTCGCTCGCACGCTCGCCTCGCTCGTCCCCATCGCTCTTCTGGACGAGATAGGGAGACGGACTTTGCTGCTCATCAGCACAGCAGGTGAGCTTCACACCCCTGCTCTTGCTGCCAGCCTCGCGGTGGCCCTCGCTCGCACGCCCGCCTCGCTCGTGCCCGTCTCTATTCTGGACGAGATCGGCCGGCGAACCTTGCTGCTCATCAGCACAGCAGGTGAGCCACCCGAGTCAGCACAGCCGGTGAGCCACCCGAGTCAGCACAGCAGGTGAGCCACCCGAGTCAGCACAGCAGGTGAGCAACCCGAGTCAGCACAGCAGGTGAGACACCCGAGTCAGCACAGCAGGTGGGTTTCAGCTGTCACTTGTTTCCTCTCTGCCAGCGTCGCAGTGACCCTCGCTCGCACGCTCGCCTCCCTCATGCCCCTCTCCGTATTGGATGCGATTGGAAGCAGGACACTGCTGTTCATCAGCACAGCAGGCTCATTTCGTTGTATGAACCTCTCACTCCCCTCTCACCTCTCTTTCCTTCCCTCCCTCTCCCTGCCAGGCATGACCATCGCCCTGCTAGCTCAAGCGATAGTCCTCCACACAATGAACCTCGGTGGAGAGTTTGACATCTCTTCAGAAAACCCCTCCTCCTCGTCCCCGCTCACCCCTCTCGTCTCCCGCCCATTCCAATCCAACGCCGCTGCTCTCTCCGTGATCGCCGCAGCAAACCTAACTGTGTTCTTCGCTATAGGCCTCTCCCCCATCTCCACTCTCCTCCCTCCGGAGATTTTCCCCCTCCGGTTACGAGCCCAAGGGACCGGCCTTGCTGTGGCAGTCAGCAGGCTGGTTGCGGCGGCTCTTTCCTCGTCGTTTCTGAGCCTTGTTGACGCGACGAGCCCCGGGTTTCCGTTCTTTGTGTTTGCGGTGCTGTCGGCGGCTGCGGTTCCGTTTCTGCATTCCTGTATGCGGGAGACGAGAGGGGTGAAGCTTGAAGGTGCTTCGGCGCTATTTGAGCCGAGTTTGGGCGGCGGAGTGGGGACAGGAGGGGGGATGTGGGGGGGAGGAGGGGTGGGAGGTGCGGCTGGGGCGGGAGAGCAGGGTGCTGTGATGGATGGGCATGGGAGAGCGATTGGGAGGAGGGCAAGGAATGTGGGAGGAGGAGATAGGGCTTCAACCAGTTGACACAGTACCCTTCTATTGTAGATGCAGGTTCTCCAAACGGCAGGCACAAATTTACGGTACTGGTATATCAAAGTTGAAATCTTCTGCTCTGTGACGGCTTGTTTGTTCCGATCACCCCGCGCTACATTGCAATTGGTGTTGTAGTTGTTGCTTCAATGCGGCCAGGCTCGCCATAAGTAGGATGGGAGGTGTGTCTGACAAGGTGCCATAAAAATATGCCGGTGGCAGAAGTACGGTAAGCCAATGTTTACTCCAACTACCGCACTAAATGAAGGTTCATTACCAGGGCCTATTTTATCAGTGTAAATCACACTGCTATACTGATGAGAAGGGTGAATTTTAGGGCCTACACTGATGTGTTTGGGTAATTTTTTTGAAACTTAGTGTTACACTGATTTGACAGTGAAACGATTTAGGCCACACTGATGGTCTGGGGTAAATTTTTTGAAAACGAAGATTACCCTTACGGGCGTACAGGGCACCCCCCCCCCCCCCCCCCTTTCATTCCCGAAATTTTGCACGAGCGTGATTTCCATCAATCACGCAAGTACCGAAGCGGCCTTCCCCGCAGAATATGCGTTGGCAGCAGTCATCTGTGTAATTGGTCAGTTTGTTATGTTTCGAGATGTTGCCTGCACTTAGTCAAATCCCTGACCACATTCATACTGTCGGTGGCACAGATGCAAGCCGCGTCACCCAACGAAGCGACCTACTGCTGTGCCGTGTTGGTTCAGCAAGCTCAGCAGAGTGGGTCAAGCAGTTTCGCATCTCGTCAATATTGTTTCCCGATCTTTATAACGATTAGTAATCTAAATTCGCGATAAGTGTACACAAAAATTCTACACTGATGCTCTGGGGTAATTTTTTTGAAAATCAATGTTACACTTATGTATCAGTGTAACGAAAAATTACACACTGATCATAAGGGTTTTCAAAAATGCTACACTGCTAATCGTGAGTAGCCAAAAACCAAACATAGGCCCTGTTCATTACTGTATGTAACTAACTTTTGTAGGGACAACTGCAATACAAGTTACTACACCTATCTTTGATCTCAACTACAATATCTTCATTTGTTTTGAGTAGTTCCCTTGTCCACAAAATGTGAGGGAATTACCGCGGCACGGGCTTCGGGCTCGGTAATTTTTTATATCGCGCTGCAATTTTTACAAAACCGCTTTCGCGGTCCATCCACCTTTCATAACAGGGCTCTTGCTAGGATTCAAGCCCGTCTGAAGACGTGTATAAAAAATTTCGTTTGGTCTGACGTTTTGACGAGGAAAAAAGGTTAGTCTGAACTTTCAGACGAGTGCAAACGCCACGTCTGATTATTCAGCTGAAATAGATAGTGCTGTCTGTTTTTTTTCAAATTGCATCGTGTAGTGTATTCCGTATATCGATTCAGGGCGACACAACCTAAATGTGGAAGGTTGTTGGGCAGCTCGCGGCATGCTGAGGGCAGGGGGGGTGGGTGTTGGGCTGCGACAAGGACTTCAGGGGAGTTCGGCTGGGGGTGTTGGGCTGTTGCGAGACTTTTCGAGAGGAAAGCGGGCTAGGCTAGGAGCGGGGATCAGGGCTCTTGCTAGGATCTGAGGACGTCTGATTCATCAGATGGGTCCCCTGGGCATTAGACATGATTTTGTCTGATCCTGTTTGCCAAATCAGATGAATCCAAAAAAGTGAGTCTGAAAATCAGACCATCAGACCAAATTAGTCTGATAACGAGAGCTCTGACGGGGATCTGGGGAGGGGACCTAAGGCTGGGGGAAAGGGGGAGAAGGGCTGGACTAGGCCTATAATATAGGGACGAGGAGCGAGGGCATCAAATGGGGGGCTGCGCTGTTAGAGAAGCGAGGGATCGGGGGGAAAGAAGGGGGGGGGGGGGGGGGGAGAGGGGATTGGGGTCTAAATCAGACAAAATGCAACCCCCTGTCTGAAATTTCAGACGAAGTATAAGGCTTCCTCTGAAAAATCAGATGAACTGAAATTCGTTATCTTACAGATCAGACGAAGTAAAAATCCTCGTCTTGAAAATCAGATGAAAACAAAAATCAAGGTCTTAAAATCAGAAAATCAGACCAATTTGGTCTAATAACGAGAGCCCTGTTTCATAACCACTTTTCCGCGCTCGCGTTAAAGTGATCTATATTAACACTTATATGGTTGTTTTTCCAGGTCGTCATTTTGTCGGTGGGCATTTTAGGGTTCAATGTGGAACCTGTCAGAACATTATAGCTTATGCTGTTGTGTAGGCTATGTGGAAACAAAGAACGAGAAAATGGGATGACTATGAACGAAGTGAGTACAAATAGGAAACCCTAATTGGGTTGTACCCCCTATGGGATACCCCACTATAGCCTACAGAAACAAGTAAGCTATAAGTTCTGACACACCCCCATAGGCAAAGTGGGGGAGAACAAGGGGTCACAAGACCAGTCAAGCAAAGCAAAGCAAAGCTCAGGGTGGATCACAAAGTCACCACGCATTCCGAGCACAAGTTCAAAGGCCACAAGGCCAGTTCACATGCAAGATCATATATAGAGATATACAAGAACAAGAGTATATATATGCGAAAGTACAAGCAAGGTCAAGAGGAGAGCAAGTGAGGCAAGACAGGCACAAGACCCAACTGCGTGCAGCAACGCTGATGATCACAAGGCGCAAGTGCCTTGGTGAAGACATCAGCAGTGTTGGCCTCAGAGGCCACGTACGCAAGTCGCAGCTGTCCACGCTGCTGTAGCTCACGAGCAAGAAAGTAACGAAGAGCAATGTGCTTCGTTCTGTGCTCCAGTCGCTGCTCTCGACACAAGGCCAGCATGGCCTTGTTGTCTACGTACAGGACTGGAGGAGAACGAGGCTGCTCTCCAAGGTCGGTCAGCAGGTAGGTGAGCCAGCGTAACTCCTGTGCAGCCATAGCCCCAGCGTAGATCTCAGCCTCACAACTGGAGCCGAGAACAGAAGACGAGCGGGTAGCCCGCCACGAGACAGAGCCGGAACCAAGGCTGAAGGTGTAACCCTGTGACGACCGCTGCGTAGCCTGGTCGTCAGCCCAAGAAGCGTCTGCGTGCCCAGTGAGGACCACTGGACTGCGCCCTCCAAGCACTAGCCCCATGCCCGACGTACTGCACAAGTAGCGCAACACCCTCTTCGCTGCAGCCATGTGCTCTGGTCGGTGTCTCCCAGGAGCAACAAAGCGTGCGAGAATGCTAAGAGGGTATGCGAGGTCAGGTCGTGTGCAGGTCATCAGGTACATGAGGCAGCCAACAAGCTCTGCAAACGGGCCACTCGACTCTACGGACTCATCCGAAGGCAGAGCTGAGAGCGAGTGGCGAGTAGGCAGAGGAGTGGCCTGAGGCGAGGAGTACGTGAAGCCGAAGCGCTGAAGGACCTGCTGCACCATGTGTGACTGAGTCAGGGTAATGGTGCGGCGTGCTCTGTCCCGGGTGATCTGCAAGCCAAGGTAGCTGCGCAGTTCACCCAGGTCAGTGCACGTGTGTCTCTTCTGCAGCTCGGACTTCACGTAGGCGAGTCCAGCAGTGTCAGCTGTGGCAAAGACCAAGTCGTCGACGTACACGAGGATGTAGAACGGCGGCAGAGAGGTGTCGGTGCGCAGAAACAGCGACGGGTCGGCAGTGGAAGGAGCAAACCCAAGTGCCGCGAGCGTAGTCCTCAGTGTGTCGTGCCACTCACGTGGCGCCTGGCGGAGACCGTAGACTGGACGCCGGAGACTCCACTGGGTACCAGGAGGGAAAGACCCAGTGAAGCCAGGTGGGCGACGCAGCCAGATCTCCTCGTGCAGGCTGCCCTGCAAGAAAGCTGTGCTGAAGTCGAGAGAGTGCAGCTCGTAGTCACGGTGAGCAGCAACGTGTAGCAGAACCCGAAGAGTGGTCATCTTCGGGGTGGGGGAGAAGGTCTGAAAGTAGTCAACCCCCTGCCGCTGACTGAAGCCACGAGCCACGTAACGCGCCTTGAAGACAGGCGGAGAACCCGGCGGCCGCTTCACCCTGAAAATCCACATGCCACTGACGATGTTCGCCCCAGGAGGGGGAACAGCGTCAACGTAGGTGCCTGTGGACTTCCAGGAAGCCATCTCTGCATCCATAGCTGCCTGCCACTGAGAGGAGTAGGGACCCTCTATCGCCTCCGCGTAAGAGCGCGGAGTCGGGATGTCTGGTGCATCCGGGTCTCCCTCAGGGGCTAGCAGTACAGACGCGAGACGAGGTGAAGCGGCGGCCAGACACTGGAACTCCTCCTGCCTGTCCTCAAGGACGTCCGTGCCAAGGGCACACTCACCCCCGACGGACGGAGGACAGGCGGACTCAGACTCAGTGACAAGACGAGCAGCGTAGTCTAGACGACAGCGCGCAGCAAAGTCGACAAGCTCAGTGACAAGGGCAGACGCAGCAGACGACTCGAAGGAGGGGTCAGTGACAGCAGTAGCCAGGAGACGCGTGACAGTAGGACTGGCAGCACGAAGGGCGTCCGACTCCGGGTCGGCAAGAGCAGGAAGAGAGGAAGCAGGAGGAGAAGGCAAAGGGGCACGCAGAGGAGCAGTGGACGGACGCAGTGACATCCGGTGCGTGCCAGGGACAGGAGGAGGACGCTGACGCGACCCGCGACCACTAGCGCGCTCAGTACGAACAGGCGACACAGGACGAGACGCAGGCTCACGACGCTCAGTAAGACCTCCAGTCGGACCAGCGTAGGGAGAAGGAGCAGGCAAAGGGGAGGCAGGCTGTAGCTGTGGCTGTGACCGGACAGGCTGCGGACCCTCTAAGGGAGGAGGAGGAGGTGTAAGACCAAGAACCTGCTGCAGGAGCGGAACGAAGTACGGTCGGGGCCGCGCGGCGACGCTAGAAACAGCAGGAACAGCACCAGCAGCCCCGGCAGGAGCACCCACTCCAGTAGCACCTCCAGCAGCACCACCAGAAGCTCCAGAACCTCCAGCCGCAGCACCAGGAGCACTGTCAGTCGGGCCGCCAACGGCAGGCTCAGCACCA